GAGAGGTTTTTTTAATTCACCATGTTTAAAATGATTTGTTTTTTGTTAACAGCTACTTACCTCAAACACATGAACCTCTCTTTAAAGAGTTCAACACAACTGCCCCTTCATGTAAGGGCTGAGAGAGTGCCCACCCACATACCTAAGCCAGCCAAAGAGTCCTCCAGCAAAAATAGTGAAGACAAGACTTAATGCGCCTGATATTTCTAATTGGGGGAGGGCATTTCTGGCCTAATTTTGGAGAAGCAAAAAGAGTACAAACCTATTTATTTTCCTTTCTACATCCCACTTGACAATGAATAGAGATGTGGTATGTAGGTAGGAGCCAATGGGAATACATGGGGATAACTAGGTACAGAATGTAACTAGATCTCTAGGCCCCCCAGTTTGCTCCAGACTCTGGCCCTACCATATTTGAGCTCACAGATCTGAATGTCGTTCTTCTTCAGTTTCTCGCATATCTTCGACACAGGCACATGAGCACTCATTGGGCGGCTGACCGCGCTGATGATCTTCGTGGCTGCATCGCTTGTTGCCCCAATGTAATAGCACTGAAACAAGCAGGATATATCATCAGCATTAAGACAAAACGGGGAGTGGCACCTGCCAACTGCTGAGGGGTTCACGTGAAGTACTGTATACCTCCAATTCCCATTGAAGTTGATGGGATTTGAGGACGCTTAGCACCCTGAAGGATTGTACCCTAAAACTCGACTTCTACCACTTCCTCTTTTGACAGAAGGACCTTCCCCAGGGTGGTGTGTTAAATGAATGCTTTGTTATGCTTGGTGGAATGTTGGGATATTGAGGTCTGGCACATCTCACAGAAAATGAGGTGTGTTTGTGTTAGATACACCTTATATATGAGGCAGCTTGGAAACTGTTATTGTGCAAAAAAACAGATTTGTGCAAATAACAGATTCCTCTTACTCTGATTACTATTTTGTACAAAGTATTGTTATTAAATAAGCCATTGAAAATATGAAATTCTGTCCCCAGGACATGAATTATATCACTCTGTTAACTCAATAAATCATAATTTGTTACCAATGGGACATTTCGATCTTATCATAACACCTTCTAGAATGGGGTGCATCTGATGGAAAATAATGGCCCATTTTTGTTACGTCTTTCAATAGGCAGAGAGCAAACCGATACTTCCAACCAGAAGGATCTTTGTTTTGTATTAGGGGTCAGATTTTGCCTCCCTTACTCATGTTGAATAGTCTCACTGAGGAAAATGGGACTACTTGGCGTATGGGGTACTATTCAGCATGAGAATGGTTAGGCAGTTGGTGTGCTGAGGCCACTGCCCATCACACTGCCCAAGACTGATTTGTTGCTTCCTTGTGCTCCCCCATCTGTCTGTCTGTATCCACTTGTTGTCTCTTGTCTTACATTTAGACCGTAGACTCTTTGGGGCGGGGACAGTCTTTTTGTTCAGGGTTTGTACGGTACCAAGCACAATGGGGTCCTGGTCCATGACATGCTCCTATGCAGTGTTGATACTACAGTAATACAAACAATAGCAAAACTTGGCTCTAGGAGGCTAACAAAACAAGAGAGGACATAGTGACGTCAGTGTGTGTGTGTCATGTAACAGTCTTCAATGAACTGAAAACAAAATGGCTGCCAGTCTTTGCAAATAACAGTCCTTAAAGATTTAAAGTGGCAGAATACAGACCACCCATGCATAACAAAGCTAAAGACACCACAGCTGTCATTGGGACTGTCACTAGCTTAAAGCCAGGCTGGTGAGGTGCTGAATAGCACTGCAGCATTGTGCCCTCCCAGAAGCTCTTCCCCATGGGGCTCAGTGATTCCTCTCCCACTCCTTATCATCACTTGGCGGCTTAGCAGAGCAGAAAGAAGAATGAAGGGCATTTTTTCTCCCCAGTGAACACTGGGAAACAGCTGAAAAGCCTCTGAATTGTGAGGGACTCAGCATTAAGGCATGGCAGGAGAACTTGGCATTAACAACTAACATAACATTACAGCAGTTAGATACTGCAGTAGGCTTCAGCCAGCCCCAGTCTCTTCTGCAGTCCAGAGGCCCCCACTTCCAAAATGGAGGGTGGCCTAATGGCCTTTGGTCTCTGCAGCCTCAGCCCACATCCTGGCACAATGACAGCTCTTCTACTTACTCAAGACTGTGCAGGTCACAGCACAGTAATACAGAGACGCACCTACCACAGGCTTGAAAAATGTGTTGTGCCCATCCAACTGTAGGGTGTAGGCTTTTGATTAGTGTCTTAATAATGTGGACCCTTATACATCTGAAATTAAACAGAAACCTTCAAACTTATTTTATGTAAGTTAGCAGTTGGTAATAATTTTCAGCCACTGTTGATGTAGCTGGATTTGAAACAGTGACCTACTGGTCAATACTAAATAACAGTGCAGATGAACCAATATTATTTTATCAAAGAACCAATTAATCAGTATTTTTTTTTATAAAGCATCATGAACTTAAAGACAAAAGAGACTAGTACCAAGCGGTGTTCTTTTCCTTTTGTATCCAGGCAGCTGTTAACCAGTTCTTTCTCTATGGTGGCTACGGTGAAGTCAGAATGTTTTTCTTTTAATGAGTTGTAAAATCTGTCCAAAAATCCTTTACACACTGTAATAAGAAAATAAAATATATAAGCCACCCAGTAGGATCTAGCAAAGCTTAAGGAATTTTAATAACTTGGCTAAAAACAGGGATCCATTAGCACTTCATAAAAACAGAAAATGACAGATTTTAACAAATGAAGAATTTAAAAAAACAAACAAAGGTTTATTTCAGCCTTTTAGCTCCCAGTATTGCCAACAACAGCTTTATATGTAGGAATGGAATTCGTCCTGTCAGCTCCGGATGTCTACCCTGGCCTTAAGTCTTCTATTATAACAGGAGATCAGAATACATCAGCATTTTGATCTTGGTTCAATTAAGCTAATCTCAACTAGAAAATTTAATTGTGTTTAATCACCATTTAAAAAAAAAATCAGTTTAGGTGAGACGATACTGCCCATGTCTGGCCAGGGAAGACAAGGAAAGGTTGTTGTGTTCTGTCCATTTTAAATACGCATCTGGCCCCCATTACCATAGTATCTGCTTGCCTCAGTCTTTAATGCATTTATTCTCCCAACACCTCTGAGCTCTGTAAGTGTTGTTATCCCCATTTTATGGATGGGGAACTGAGGCACAGAAAAACTAAATGACTTGTGTAAGGTCAGACAGGAAATCTATATGACAGAACAGGAATTTGAACCTGGTCCTCCCGGCTAGCACCCTAACCACAGTAGTGTAGCTAGTGGGGTGCAGAGGAAGCAGCTGCTTCCCCTCAGCACATTTTCCCCAAAGTCGCGCCTTTCCAAAAGTGGCTGGAGGAGTGAGGGGGGGCACAGGCTGGTTTCGCTGCATTCCGCCCGGAGCTCTGGCCAGGGAGCGGGTCCGGGGGTCTGGCCTGGGGCTCCAGCTGGGGGAGCAGGTCCGGGGGGCTCGCTGCGCTCCACCCGGGTCTCCGGCCGGGGGAGTGGCTCCAGGGGTTTCTCTGTGCTCTGCCCGGGGCTCTGGTTGGGGGAGTGGGTCCAGGGGTCTGGCCACACTGCGGCAGGAGCTGCAACCGAGGGAGCGGGGTCCGACGCTTCGGCCGGGAGAGCAGGGCAGGGGGGTTGGCCGCGCTCCGCCCGGCACCCCGGCCAGGGGAGTGGATCCAGGGGTTTCTCTGCGCTCCGCCCGGGGCTCTGGCTGGGGGAGCAGGTCCGGGGGTCTCGCGGTGCTCCGGCCGACGCTGCAACCGGGGCAGAGAGCGGAGTCCGGCGCTGCGGCCGGGAGAGCGGGTCCGGAGGTTTCACTCCGTTCTCCTGGGGCTCCGGATGAGGGAGCGGGGGGGACGCGGCATGCGGCCCGAAGCGCAGCCGGGATACACCGGCTGGAGGAGCGAGGGGGGGGGCGCAGGCTGGTGGCCGGCAGCCATGGGGGGGGCTTCCCCCCCTCCCGCTGCAGCCTGTCAGCGTGACCCGCCCACAGCCAGGCTCCGCCAGCAGCCCCGGGCAGGGCAGTGCCCCCAGGCTGAGCGGGCGAGCCGGGCTGCAGCTCGCTCGGACCGCGCCTGGCGGGGCTCGCTGCTTTCTGCCCCCACCCTGCAAGGGGTAGCGCCAGCACTGAGCCTGGGCTGGCACTGCAGGTGGCGAGCCCCTCCGAGGCAGTGACAGTGGAGTTTGTTCTCTGCTGCTGGCTGGGCTGGGCCTAGCAGCCGGGCCCCGGAAAGAAGCAGCGGAAGGGCAGGCAGCAGACTCCCAGGCTCTCCCGGTCCCGGGGGCAGCTCCAGCCCCCTCTGCACAGAGAGTCCCGGGGACCCCAGTCCACGCCCATCCCCGGTAACCCCTCCCCAAGCTCCAGACCCCGTGTACCCCTCCCATGTACCCTGTTCCCCTGCCTTTCCCTCCCCTTCACCTCTCCTCGTACCCCCGTTCTCTGCCACCCTCCCTACATCCTCCCCTCCATCTCCCCTCAAGTCAAACCCCCTGTCCCCCTCCCTCCACATCCTCCCCTTCACCTCCCCTCGTACCCCCGTCCTCTGCCACCCTCCCTCCACATCCTCCCCTTCACCTCCCCTCAAACCCCCTGTCCCCTGCTACCCTCCCTCTACATCCCTCCCCTCCACCTCCCCACAAACCCCCTGTCCTCTGCCAGCCTCCCTCTACAGCCATGGGGGGGCGGCGCGGCCGGAGGAGCAAGGGGGGGGGGGCGCAGCATGGCCACAGTGTGGCCGGAGGAGCCAGCCAAGGGCGGGGTGGGGCGGCAGTGCTCAGATGGGAGCTGCAGCAACAAGGGAGCAAGAAGGAGACGGTCACGGGACAGCAGGATGACCTCAACATCCAAGCCAACAACCACCTCCTGGAACAAATGGAGGAAATTAGAGGACTGAGGTTGATGGTCCAGAAGAGTGCAGAGAGGTGTGATGAGCACACAAGCTTGGTGACTGCTGACCAGAAAGCTTATATTCCCACAGGTGAATGCGGTAAGGATTCAAGAACCTGGGAAGATGGTATAAGTGTGTGGATTCACTACCCAGTGACAGATTTAGTATCAACAGCCACTAATACAGAGATTGTGTCGACTACAGAGGCTGCTGTGAGGGCCGTAGCCTTTACAGCTACTCAACAAACCCAACCCCTACTGGAATGGAGAAAAGTAGAAGACAGGGTCAAAGAGGAAGTCATGGCTCAACTCAATATCCTACAGGCCCAAAGGGTTGAGGACTTGCAAGAACTCGAAGAGAGGTGCTCCTCGAGACAGGATGTGAGCTCAAGCTATACAGTGGGAACAGGACTTGGCCAGAATTGAAAAAAAGAGATTTGGGAACAAGTGTTTGATGCTGCAGAAGGAGCAGAATAAGCTCCAGAACTTGCTTCAGGTCCAACTTGCTTCAGGTCCAGCATGGATAAAGGTAAAGAACTGGAGAGCCTGAAGGAGTCATCCTCATGTAACATTGACAGACCCCAGTTGTCGTTGGGCAGGACTGAACCTGGGACCTTTGGAGCTTAATGCATGAGCTAAAAGTCATGGGGCTCTTAGCTAAGGCTGTAGCAGACTCATTAATCTCTGAGTGGACTCGCTGCCACTAGAGGGGACAGAACACCACACCCAGGAGGTGTGTGGTTACACTTAGAAAAGAGTTGTAGTGGTTGCACCCTGAGACAGTTGAAATTAAGAGCTGCCATGCCCTAGCTCAGATGATACAGGAACACAACAAGGCTGCAAGGCAAGGCCACAGCCAGACCCCAGCTAAAAAGAGCTCTCCCCAGGAGGAAAAAGGAAGATTAAAAATGATCCTAACATACTGAATGACATCCAGTACTTGGTCCTGCTAGTGAAGGCAGGGGGCTGGACTCAATGACCTTTCAAGGTCCCTTCCAGTTCTAGGAGATAGGATATCTCCATTAATTTATTTATTTATTATTTATTATCCATGCAACAGTGTAGTTACAGAAAGAACAACAGCAGGTGCTACTAAGCCAGATACTAAAAGCTGTGGGCAAAACAGTACAGAAGTCCTGCTGAATCTGTATAAAGATATCCTTAACCAGCCACTGGCAAAGTGACCCAGCACCTGAGAAGAAGACAAGGCTCGTTTAGAAGCCCAAGCAAAGGACTGAATTTAAAGGCCCTAGAGCTGCAACTGAAGACCCCGACAAGGGCAGACAGTTTGTTGGGCTTTTTGCTATCCCAGAAGGGGTTCCTTTTTGACTGTGTGACCTGACCAGAGAGCCAAGCCACTGAAGACCCACCAAGAAAGGTCAGCAACATACAGGGGGCTCCAGTCGCAGAAAAAGGCCTGCAGTACTGCATGCAGCAACAGGAGGCACTCGAGGAGTGTCCCCTGTTACAATTTCCCATAACCCATCTTGGAGCTATGTCATTAACACAATACTTTTGCATTCATACAGGTCCTTCCAGCCAAGGGTCTCAAAATGCTTCATACACATTAATTAATTAAGCCTCACAACACTTCTTTGACATGTTATTAGCACCATTTAATAGGTGTGGAAACTGGGGCCCAGAGAGGTGAAAGGCCAACGTTTTCAAACCTTGGCATCTGCTGCTGGGCACCTAAATCCAGATTGTAATACTGCATGCAGATAACGTAAACTGAACATGCATTGAAAGGGGCCGATTTCCCCCCTCATTTCATGAGTTACAAATATTTGAACTTGCAGAGTAAGTCCTGGCATCACGAGTTACTACCCTGGAGGAAATTCCAGTAGAAAATGTTCAGTGGGTTCCTACTAGTTCCAGTTGTTAACTAGGGATCCAGTTCAGCAAAGCACCCCTATTCAGTAAAGCACTTGCTTAAAGTTCAGTGTATGCTTAAATGCTTTGCTGAGCTGGGGTATAGGTTTGGAACAGAGCAATCAGTCTTTTAGGTCCTGGGGCAGTTGATCCTCCAGTAAGAACTACCAGAGGCCAGCAGAATCTGCCAGTGACTACTTGAATGATTTTAATGGAGTCTATTGAAGTTTCCAGTAGGGTAATCTGGGGAACATGCTGCTTATTTGTTCTTTTGTTTTACTAATGTGAAGTGCAGGTGTAATTTTATTTGCAACATCCTGGTATCTGCCCCGGAGGATAATCCAATGTGTGCATGAATATGATGATTTGCTACAAATGTTGTTTTTTTTAATGGTAACTTGTCCAAAGGTCTCAAGTCTAGCTATAAAGTATGGAAATATGGACGATAACCTGGTGGCCTTGTGTAGTTAACCATGTGCGCTCTTTCCAAAGTGAAGAATTAGGCAGGGAGCTGCTGACTGAATGGAGCAAGAGAAGGGATTTAGCAAGTCATTGATTATTTTATTCAGTTCAGTGCTGTTTACAAGCAAACAAAATCAGTTGGATTCACTGGTCAATTATCCCAGGATTGTTCGGTGCAGGAAAGCAGCTTTGTCTAGGGGACAGTCATTTAATGACTCTTGTTGCAGGTCTGGATTTTGGTTGTCTCAGGCTGTCAGACAATAGAATTTTTCCATCTCAGTGACTAAAACTTGTGACTCGGTGTATTATAAAGGAGGTGTGGTTACCACTTACCAGGCTATCCATGTCCTTTCAAGGAAAAAGAAGAAAAGCAACAACTCAACTCTTGGACAACAGCAACGGGAATTTTATAGGTGTTTGTTATGTAAAAAAACTAACAAAAAGCCCAGTGATGTTGGTTAATAAACCCTTTGGCACCAAGCTTTGCCAATGCTTAAAACTTTACTGCAAAATCACCAATCTGCCAAACAGTCTCCAAGCTGCAAAATACTTATCGGGTGGTAATTGTATGATATGTTCATGCCACCTACAGGAAATAACACATCCCTTCAAGAGATTTTGCTTGTAAAGCTTTGCATTAATCCTTTTTTTTTTTTTAATTGCTGTTGTGCAAGATTGATGATCTAGTATCATTGGACACCCCGCTCATAAAAAAAAATCCTATTCAAGTTATCGTTAATTAACCAAAACATTTAATGCATCTAATTCACTAATGGCAGATTTTATAAAGTATTTAATAGTCACTTTCCCCTCTCTGTGTCCCAGTTACCTCAACTGTGAAATAGGGATAATGATAATGACTTCCTTTGTAACGCGCTTTGAGATCTATTGATGAAAAGCTCTATGTAATATTGTTATTATACCTTACAACTATATCACATTTTTCATCCAAAGTGCTCTGAGAATTATCACTCCACTGAAATCCATCCAACTCTGGGGAGCAGCAGTTTAACATACACACTACACAACAGTTTAGGACAGGAAATGAAGAGTACCCCTGTGTCCATCTGAAACTGAAGAAAGTATTCTGACGTAGGCAGAATGTAGCTACACTGTATGGAATTTAGCTGGGGGGTGGGGAGAGGTTAATAGCCCTAATTTTATAAAAACTTCCATGAGAACTTTCATGATCACAAGTGATCAGAACCTCAGTTTTACATCTCTTCAAAAAGCCAGCACCTCCAGTAGCACGATGCTCCTAATAACACAGTGAGGAATTTGGTTCTGTACTAACTCAGAGGGGAAAGGTTTCAGAGTGGTAGCCGTGTTAGTGTGTATCAGCAAAAAGAACAGGAATACTTGTGGCACCTTAGAGACTAACAAATGTATTTGAGCATAAGCTTTCGTGGGCTAAAACCCATTTCATAGGATGCATGCAGTGGAAAAAACAGTAGGGAGATATATATACACAGAGGGCATGAAAAAATGGGTGTTGTCATACTAACTATAATGAGAGTAATTAGTTAAGGTGGGCTATTATCAGCAGGAGGAAAAAAAAAACTTTTGTAGTGATAATCAGGATGGCCCATTTCCAACAGTTGATTTTACTCTTGTTATAGTTAGTATGGCAACACCCATTTTTTCATGTCGTGTGTGTGTGTGTGTGTGTGTATATATATAGATATATCTATCTTCCTATTGTATTTTCCACTGCATGCATCTGATGAAGTGGGCTTTAGCCCACGAAAGCTTATGCCCAAATAAATGTTAGTCTCTAAGGTGCCACAAGGATTCCTCGTTCTTTTTTCAGAGGGGAAAGTGCCACATACTGGTTCACCAACACCATTTCCTGCAGCATCTGGATTTACCCTGGGGCTTTCTTAAGTATTGACTCAGTTTGCTCCTGCTTACCGCCTGGGATCTGACAAGAGCACAGACCGTGATGATACAGCTGTGATCCACAGCCTCCTACAAGCTTAATTTTCCAGGAATTAAGGCAGCACATGCAAAAGATAATTAAAAGGGGTTCTTTTACCCCCCAGGGACGTTTTAGAGCATATATTATTTACTGAGCACCAGCAGCATGCTGGGCAGTAGTACAGTCAAGGGTAAATTCAGGTAAATTGAGTTTACCTGACTTTCATTTGGGGAATATGGAGTTTAGGTTAGATTAGTTTGCCCGCTTCTTTTTTTACCACTACACCACTGATGCTGGGCATTGCATACATGTCTTTGCTTCCTAGCTAAATATCTAACAGACGTTTCTGCTTGTTTTTATCACTGTGATTTTACTACAGGTACAGGCCAGCCTGCTAAAATCCGAGGGGGAGCTCTTTGAATCTCAGCGTTTCAGGCTGAGCCTGGGCTTTCAGTGCAGTAGTAGCTTGGATTCCTACAGTAGAGGAGCTCACGGTGTGCTAACAGTGCATCTCGCTGGCAGGTCTGGCCTTTGAATGTGTGGAGCACCAATGTGCCAGATGGGAAGAATCATGCCAGAGGTTGCCTCCCACTCCTGGGAGGGGGACTGGAGATTATGCAGGCCTGTGATGACTTGTGTGATCTCCCCCACAGGTCTAGCTACTGAGGAAGGAAACAGGTCTGCAAGCTGCAGACTGGGAAATGTTTGCTTTGCTCAGTACCTGCCACCAGTAGTTTATACTGAAGGCTGGTGCTGATAGTTGGCCGTCTGAGGAGTTGAACTAACAGATTTCAGCAGAACTCTTGGCTAAAACTCTACCTCCCTGAAATTCAGTGTGAGATCTCTCTAGACTTAAAGGAAATTGAATGTCTCTGTTCAGAGACACATGTGACTCCTTCATTATAGTATCTGAACATCTTCTAATAGAGTGACCAAATAGCATGGGTAAAAAATCGGGACACGGGGTGGCGGCGGGGGGGTAATAGGCACCTATATAAGAAAAAGCCCCAAATATCAAGACTGTCCCTATAAAATCGGGACATCTGGTCACCCTATCTTCCAAGTATTTATGAATTTTAGTTCACAAAACCCTATGACAGAGGGAAGTACTACTGTGTCCATTTTACAGAGCGGAAACTGAATCTTAGGGTCTGACTATGCTGCACTGGGGAGGTAAGATTGCAGCAGGGGTAGACATACCCGAGCCTGCTTTGATTGAATAACAAGAGCAGTGAAGCCACTGCAGCACAAGCTGTATGAGCCCACCCGGGACCCTGGTGACTCTAGCAGCTAGTCCGCACTGCTGCAGCTTCACTGCTTGGTATCCAAGCCAACTTGAGTAACAACAGCAGTGAAGCCATGGCAGCATGGCCTAGCCCCACCCACCCAGGACCCCTGGTACATTCGTGAGCAGCTGCTGCACGTGCTGCCCCACAGTTCCACTGCTATTGTCACTCGTGCTAGCTTTGATCTAGCTAGCTTGGGTCTGCCTACATGTGCTGCAATCACACCTCCAGTTGCAGTGTAGACATACCCAGCGAGTGACTTGTCATGGGCATGTAGGAATTCTGTAGCGGAGCCAGGAATTTAACCCAGATCTTCTGAGTCCCAATCCAATGCTCTCCTGACCGTCCCTCCTCCCCCAGACAGGAGAGTGGACACCTTTAAGCCTTTAATACACTTACAATACATTGCTATTGCAAGCTGGGCATCTCTTCCACTTTCCTTATTTAAATGTAACTACTCGCTAGCTGCCCCATGTGCTAGGTAAGTCCCAGGATCAGGGCAGCTCCAGAGCTGCCCATGCACCTTCTGAAGTACTAACTTGTCAATGGAATGGCAGCACTGAGAAGTCTGTCACTGTGCTCTACTACAGTAGCCCGGAGATTAAAGTAATGGTGCGCCACTTTCTTGTTGAAAGTAAAATGTTTAAAAGAATGTTTTGCCTATGCTACTGTTACCATCTCAGATGGTTAAAGACAAAAGAATTCTTAAAATTCCATTTACTTTTCACCAGTTATGGTACTTGTAGCTTTTTAGTCCATTTGGATTGTGAAATTAGATTGCTTAATTTCACTTCCTGGTTGGCATGCATTAGCACCATGCTATTATCACACTGCAGTGTAACACTTAAGATCTTGATCCTGAAACCTGCTCCACATGGGCAAACCCCTGGGCTTCTGGGGAACCACACTGGCTTGGGCCTTTGCATGGGAATGGTTTGCAGGATCAGGGCCTCAATTCTCGTGTACTAATACAATGCTCCATTTAGGGCTCATGGTAATTGAGATTTTCATTTTTAAAGTGTTTAGAGCATAAAACATTTATGTTTATTTTACAATTTGGATTTTGTTTAAAAAAGATTCAAACGGGCCTAAAATTTTTAGTTGACACATTCCATTTAAATCAAGCGTGTTCTAAAACATCACACACATACATAGGCTCTGGGGAGCTATATTTGTTTTCGGTTGCCGAACAGTACTGGCGTGTCACCATGTCCATCTTACTGCAAGAAGAAAAGCTGATAGAAAAAGATTTTGCATGCATCATATCAACATTCATCTACTGTTTATGTACAGATTGTGTGTACATTTAGCATACAGGACCTAGAGAAAACAAGGGGCTGTACAGTGAGAGATAAGAGCTTTTAAAGAAAATTCACACCACCACAGATGGTAGGCTAGAAAATTTTATTTACACATTTTACTTAGCACATATTATTGTACATCTGTGGCAGAGATGAGCCACAGTTTCATAAGCTACAAGCAAGGAGAGACATGATGGCAAAATGGTGTGACTTGAGTCAAATTTTTGCCATCGTTACACAAAGAATCTCACTTAACTGGGTGGAGGGGTTATTTTTACAATTGTCAACGACAGTCCCAACTGCGCGCCAATTCCAACTTTTGCAACCTTGTGCACATACCAGTCTTGACTCCCTTGTCCTCTTTTCCCACACTACCTCTTATGCTCAAAATGCTCTTTGTCAACCCCTCCTTAAGACTCCCTTCTACAAGCCATTAACTAACATAATGGGGAGGGAGGAGGCATGAAGAAAACTTTCACTGTATGTTTTATCCCTCTGCCCTACCCTTCACCTGTTGCTTGACCGCTAGATTGTGAGTTCTTAGAAGCAGAGACTATGTCTTGTATATTTGCACAGTGGTTAGCATATTTATGGGGTTCATTATAAATAATATTTGTAACATTAAGTATTTTCTACAGCCTTTCACACTGATCCCATGAAATCAAGCAGATACACAACCTGGTGTAACAGACAGAGCCACACGGATCCAGGCAGAGATGCCTAAAAGGTGGCCAATATTTTGTTTTATTTATTCTATTTCTCCATCAATGGCCAAGTATAACAGGCCAGAGCAACCAGTGCTTATAAAAAGCCCTCTAATAAATGGAGGCCCGGCTCCATGAAATTGCAGCCTTAATTTTGACAACTGAATTCCAACCTCAATTTCTACCTGTGATGCATGACCAGAAAGGGTTAAGCGTCTTGCAGAATGAATGACTCAAATTCAACCCTTAAAAACATATGTATTGGTAGAGGTCAATAATGTAATCAAACAGTCCCTGTCTATGCTGTATTCTGTTAATTCAGAGATCAAAAGAACATTTTAGCATTTAAATGAACTGTAAACATGGGATATCTTGTATTCATCTCTCTTTGAAATGTATAGCCAATCATCTGCGAATGGTGGGAAAACAGGCAATTGCCTTATGTTAATTTGTGTAGCTAAGTACAGGTGATGGACCTACTTCAAAGTTGCCCTGATTGCCTATTGTAAGCCAAGGGACTCTGACCAAGCAAAGAAGGCCTGAAATTGTATAAAAGATCCTTGGTCCTGATCCTGTCATCTCATATCTGCTTAAGCTTCATCGGGGGAAGTTTGAGTTGCAAGACTGAGATCCCAGTTAAACTGGAACACCCTGGATATGATATTGGACTATAATCTATGGACTACGTTCTAAAAGAACTCTTTGCAACTACAAAGCTCACCATCTCTGCTATGAATCTGAACCTCAAGAATTGAACTCATGTCTGTATGTACATTGATCTTTTAACCATACTCTCTCTCCTTTCTTTTTTGATAAATTTTAGTTCATAAGAATTGGCTGGGAGGTAATGTGTCCAATCCTTTGGGATTGGTAGAAACTTTTTTATATGATGAAATAAGATTTTCAGAAATCATCATACCTGACTTGAGTGTCTAGGTGGATGCCTGAGGCTGTGTTACTTTAAGGGGACTGTGTTGCTGACTTCTGAGTAATCAGTGAGGTATAATGGAAGCTGCTTTGTGGTGGCTTGGTAAATCTAAGTATTGGAATATCCCTCAGCTTTGGGGATTGCCTGCCCCATTCTTTGCAGTTCACCCTAATTTAGTGACCTCAGCAGACTCCCTTGGGATCGCAGTCACTACCATTTGTCAGTAACATTGAAGTATAATTAACTATGTAAGCAGCATTCAAAATCCCTGCTCTAGAGCAACAGGAGCGAAGACAAGGGACCTTTGTGTAAGACACCAGTCTGTCTGCCACGTCTGACCTGATTTCCAAAGTTGCTGAGCGAGCACAGATAGCTCCCACTGTACTTTCATGGGCTCTTTGGCTAAGCACTTCCAAAAATCAAGTGAGTAGGAGCCAGGCAGCTTAGCCCCGCCCCATAACCTCTTTAACACTATCCTGACTTCTCAGATTCAAACCAGTGGAGGCAAATCTGCACCGGGGAGCTGGGAGGAATCAATGTTTGCAAAGCACTTTGAAGATGCCGGAGGAGGGGGGCTGGGCCATGCATGGGGTTGCATTTTCCACTGTGGATTAACCAGTTCGGGGGGGCTCACACACGGATAACGATTGTTATATTGTTAATGAAACGCCATTAGGAACAAGGCGCAGCGTCTGCGCAGCCACGCAGAGGAGAGCAGCCATGGGGATGCAGCTATTTATAGCACGGGGGCGATGCACAGGGCAGCAGCACACGGTGCAGCAAGGCAAGCGGCCCTCAGTCTCCCTGCCCCGCTCACCTTCGCACTGAGCTTCATGTCCCCACGGGCCAAGGGCGGCAGCGAGCCAGGGGCCCGTGCACAGGAGAGCTAGGGCCAGACCTGCACAGGGGCTGCGCACAGCGCGTGCGGGCTGCCGCTGCATGGTGCTGGCAGCGCTGCCTGGCACGAGACGAGACCCGGCCGAATGACCCCGCCCCCTTCCCTCCTCCCGGGCGGGGCTGCCAGGAGGAAAAAAGTGCTTGGGTTGCTATGCTCGGTGACGACGAACACCGCTCGATTTTTCATTGGCGGTTAGCCGCCTGGTCTGGCCCCGGAAGCACGAGGGAGAAATCTGACCCTGTCTCTGCGATTGGTCCTAACGGTAGCTTCGCTGGGGAGCAGATGCGGAATGTGATTGGCCGGTCGGGCGAGCGGCCCTGCAGGATTGGCGCGGGCGGCGTCGCGGTGCATTGTGGGAGGGGAACGCTGCGGCGGCGTGGAGAGAGGGGCTCATGGCGGCCATCGGGGTCCATTTGGGTTGCACCTGCGCCTGTGTGGCCGTGTATAAGGTGGGCCGCGTTGGGGGTGCGGTGAGGGGTTAGCGGGGCCCTCTTCCGGGTCAGCCGCTTGGGGGTGGGACGGCGGAGCCATCTCTGGTGCTGCTGTGGGGGGCGCCAGGGCCACTGTTGACAGGATCCCTGTGGCCAGGGTGCGTGTGTGGCACAGTCAGGGCCACGGGCTGTTACGGGCCGGGATGACTCTAACCCCTGGACGTGACGGATTCTCCCTCCCTTGGTGTCCTCAAGACGATGCTTTTCTGGTGTCAGTCAGTTGCTGTTAGCAGCAGAGCTGTTCAGCGGGGGCATTTAACTGTTAACACTGGAGAGAGATCTTGGAGTCATTGGGGATAGGTGTCTGAAAATATCCACTCAATGTGCACGACC